TCTGACCGTGGTGCCTGGAGAGACATGGACAGTAGGGATGATCAGGCAGTTGGCGTGAGCTTTAAGTCCTCTGCTGGGGAAGGAGAACAGGGCAAGGAGCAGGCCATGTTTGATAAGAAGGTGCAGCTACAGAGAATGGTAGACCAAAGGTCAGTGATTTCGGATGAAAAGAAAGTTGCCCTCCTCTATCTAGATAATGAGGAGGAGGAGAATGACGGGCATTGGTTTTAATAAGCAGAAACATTTTGTTTCAGTGGTATCCTACTGACAACATACCAACATCCAAAGGCCTTATTTTAAGGCGCAGGGAGTCTGTTAAAATCTCCTCTTTTTTGCTTTCTTAGAGAGTACTCCAGGCAGTGTCAATTTTTATTAATCCATAAAGATTTCCAGTTAATTCATGCCTTAAAAGACACTGCAATTTTAGTTTTGAGTTGGGACTTTTACAAAACACTTTTTTTTCCCTGGAGTCTTCTCTCCACTCCTGGAGATGATTTCTATGTTTTGCACCTGGTCACAGACATGGCTTGCATCTGTTTGAATAACAGTTAATTATAGATGTCAAAACATTAACCAGATTAAAGTAATATATTTAAGAGTAAATTTTGCTTGCATGTGCTAATATGAAGTAATAAACTAACATTGTAGGGGAAAAATAAATACATTTTAGACTCTTTCTAAAAAGGCTTTTCAAAAAGAAATTGTAGGAAATAGACTGTTTATGTTAAAAAATTTTTGCTAAATGAATGATTTCATCTTTAGGAAAAAGTTACTTGCCATATAGAGTTAAATTTATCTTAAGACTTGAATGAATTGCTCTCTATGTACAGAACTTTTAAAAATATAGTATTTATGGAGAGGACAGCTGTAGTCTGTTGTGATATTTCACATTCTGTTTGCACAGGTTTCCCTGCACTGGTAGGTAGGTGAGCATTGGGAATCGCTTACGGTACCACTTCATTTTTTGGCACTAGGTGAGGAAGTAGCACACAGTCTGAACACCCTGTTTTGGTTATAGCCTAAGTTCTGGAGGGGCCAGTTGCTGTCAGACTGTGCAGACTTGAGCTTCTCTGCATCTTAGCTCTGAGCACCCAAATGTTTCATTTCACTGGGGGGAGGTAGACCTTGAAGGCAATCAAGAATGCTGATCCTCAGACTGCAGCTGGGCTGGCAAGTTGGCTGTGTGCAGGAAAACTGGAAACACACAGTGGACCATGCCTCCTAAAGATGCCTTTCCCAGCCTTCCATTCACAGGATGCAGGTCTTTCTGAGCTCAGGGGTGAAAGATAAAAACAACCGTGAACCCACCTCACGGAAGCTTTTTTGCACTCTCAACAGAAGTCATTGCAATTGGGGTGTTTTGTCCAGAGAAACAATCTATTAAATAGAAGGATGTTTTGGGGAAGGAACTGGGTATCTCTCCTGCAGCCCAGCACTGAGATACCTGGGGTGTGAGAATGGCCTCCACACTCACGGGCTACAGAGCGTGGACCTGTAGATAGGCACCACTGGGTTTAAGATACTGGGATGAGCATGCTTCATTGGACACGTGGGCATTGTTTTTAAAGCTTCCGTCTGTAAAGTGTAGCATCATATAGAAAGAGGATTGCTAGCAGCACAGCTAGCTTCTTTCACATCACGTCATATCGTCTCAGCTGTACTTTCTGTAACACAGTATCATAGCAGTGACTAGTGCACTGAGGAATAACACTCTGAGGTGGCCCCACTCTCAGGCAGGCTGCAATGATGGCACTGGAGGGTCTTCCCTCTCAGACTCATGTGGAGGCCCTTGGACCCCCAGGGCCCACGTCTCCCCAGATCCTGGGAGTGCCTACCACAGGTAGTTTCTGGAGAGTGCATTTTCTTAATTGGTCAATGGAGGAGAAATGTAGCACAGCTTTCCAGATGATATTTGAAAAACACCGTGAGTCAGAGTATGGAAAGAAAGTTGATTTGAATTGCAAGTTTAAACCTTTGTTGTCCATCTGCCGAATGAACTAGTTAGTGATTGTCAGACTGGGATGGAGATGACTGCTTTGTAAAGATTTGTCATTTCTAATACAGTCAAAGATGTGCTTTTATCTGTAACAGGTAATGGTTTTTGGATAGATGATTGGTGAGAATTTGGTTAAGGTGACAGTCTCCTGTCTGATGACCAAAAAGACTGGCGGTGAGGGGTCTAAGTCTAAGTGGGCTCAGTTTGATGTCAGTGTCTGGGCTCATGACTTGTAAATGGAAGCTGATGTGAACAGGTAATTAATGTTATGACCCACTTGTATTTACTTTGGGAAATATCTTAGATCTTATCATCTGTAAGTTTGGGACACAAAGCTTCGAGAAATATTCTACCAGAAGTATTTACGAGTGTGGAATCGAACTATTGTTGGTTGCTAAATCTGTGAATCACCCAGGATTGTGCCCTTGACATTGCGACAGGTCACCCCAAAGCTCCATGTCCTTTAAAACCAGTCGCTCTGGACACAAGATAAATCACTTTGTGGTTGGATGGGGCCGGAACACAACCAGTCTTTTTGTGTTTATTGTTATTTAGACAAACAGTACTCACTGAATGTTTTCCAGTTTCCCAGTGGTGGTTTTGCTGTTGTTTGTTTAAGGTGTATATGTAGAATGGCATCATCTAAGAAGTTGGATTTTGCTAAACCCCTGTTCCCTACAATGGGAAATGTCACAAGAATGTGCAAAAATAAAAATCTGAGGAAAAAACCAACATTGTTCTTAAAGAGAATGAATATTTTAAGTAGATTTTTGATGTTTCCTTTAAACTCTAAATAAAGAATCTATGTGTTTACACGCATGTTTTTTGGGTAGCAGAGTATTACGGGGCAGAATACATATGTAAAGTTCCAGTTCTCTAATTCCTCAATATTGTGAGCACAGAGCTAGAAAGCATGGCAGACACAGTATAGGCCACCTGGCTTGTATTCAGATACACCCTGGACAATTTGCAGTAAACATGTCATCAAAGCCTGAAAGACTAGTGCCAGTAGGATACCAACAACCATCCCATTTGGGATGGAGAGGTTTCTTGGGATGTGGGACTCTGAGTGCTAAAACCAAGACTGGCCTGGGCATAGTTGGTTGCCTTGTAAGTACAAATTGGAGGATTAACCAAGAAATGGCCATGGCCATTTCTTAGGGGCTTAAAAAAACTGAGGTAGTTTGAGACACAGGAGCAGCTAGATATCCTTACCTGTTTGTAGCCCCTTTACCAAAAATATAAAAACACAAGTAGCAGTAGTCTTCCTCTCTTGTTGAAGTCAACAGAATTAACACATGGGCAACATCGGAGGGAGCATTCCTAAATTCATGCTTTCCTGGGGTGGGGGTGCTATATTTAAAAAATGTGTTTTAGCTTTTGTGATTCCAAGATACCTTTCAAGAAATACAGAGAGGAAGAAGTAATATTAGGATGCACATTTATTTCAAAAACCCAGCATGGACTCTCAGTTCAGGCTGCTGTAACAGGGAGCCATAACCTGAGAGACATTTATTTCTTTTTTTTTTTTTTTGAGATGGAGTTTCGCTCTTGTTACCCAGGCTGGAGTGCAATGGCGCGATCTCGGCTCACCGCAACCTCCGCCTCCTGGGTTCAGGCAATTCTCCTGCCTCAGCTTCCTGAGTAGCTGGGATTACAGGCACGTGCCACCATGCCCAGCTAATTTTTTTGTGAGACATTTATTTCTTACAGTTCTGGAGGCTGGGAAGTCTCGAGGTGCCAACAGATTTGCTTCTCTGTGAGGGCTCTCTTCCTGGCCTGCAGATGGCTGCCTTCTCACTGTGTCCTCACATGGAGAGAGAGAGATCATCTTTCTTGGGTCTCTTCTTATAAAGCACTAATCATATTCATCAGGGCTCCACGCTCATGACCTAATCACCTCTCCAAGGCCCCACCTCCTAATATCATGCCTTTGGGGATTAGGGCTTCAACAGGAATTGGAGGCACACAAACATTCATCCCATAGCAGACTCCACCCGTGTCAACTAGATAGGACACATGGTGAGTAGTCACCTCTTATACCTTTTTAGCACACTGCTGATGTCCCGCAGGCCAGGATCTGGGTTCAGTGTGTACTAGCACCGATAGTCTGTGGGGTCAGGTGTCACACTTCTGAGGAGGACATGGACCCTTGTTTTTTTCTACCCTGTCGTGGCTCTATTATTTTCCTCATCAATTCTTGAGGTCGGGCCCTGCACAGATAGATGGCCCCAGGATGGTTTGGATTTCCCACAGTGGGCTGGAGGGGAGGGCCCTGTGCTGCAATCTGCTGCCATCCTAGTACTGGCCTGCAGCCTCACTGGCCACAGTCTGTGGGATGAGGGGAGGAAGGAGAAGGGAAAGCATTGGCCACACCTGCATCCCTACTCCTGGGCGCTCCATCCATCTTGATCCGGCACTGGCTCTCATCTTTGACATTGTGGAGAAACAAGCTCAAGACTTGGCCATCCTCACATGACTAAGGCGTCCCTCCAGGGAGCTGAAGACTGCTGTGCACATGACAGTGTGTCAAGTCAGGAAGCAGCTCCAGGTGGCGTCCAGATTTGTCCTGCCTGCAGTAGAGGCCAGACAAGGGATGCGAAGCAGCAAGGAATCAGTGTTGCCCCCCTGCAGCCTCCTGCCGGCCTTTCTTTTTACTCCCTTACACCTGCCTCCTGGCCCCAGGCCTAGTCAGGTGCACCGAGTCCGCTGCATTGGCCTCCTGCCCCTCCTACTCTGCTCTTTCGCTCTCATGGGTGCTGTCCGTGCTGCCTACCAATCCCCCCAGCATAGGCCTAATTCCTGGTGCTGTGCCGGGCTGTGACTGTGTCTTGTCTACTGCCGTGCCCCTAGTTCTTAGCACACGCCTGATACATACGAGGTGCTCGACACAGTTCAAAGAGTGACCAAGGACACATAAAGGGAGCTGTCTCTGAACCCCTTTCAGGCTCCAAGGAACTCTGAGGCAGGCTGCACTTTGAAAACACATGCCGACACCAGTGCGTTCAAGTTTCCCTTTATTAGCATTTTCTTCTCATGTTATTCTTGATCCCTGTTAACCTCCTATAAGAAAGGGCTTCTTCCTGAATTTCAGTGTTCCAGATCTGACTCCAGACCTACATGAAGATTTGTGTGTACCAGTAGATGCCAGGCTGACTCCTGCAGAGGCCACTCTGAACTTTTGAAGAGAAGTTTCAGCCACAGTAGTGCTGACGGGTAAAAATTCTTGTTGGCAAGAAAAAACACTTAGGTGATTAAAAGAAAAATGCTTTCTAGCATGTATCACCCTGAAGGGCATCCACTGTTCACAAGGTGGCCCACAGGAGGCTTCTGGTCTCACTGTTGCATGTTGGAACCAACAGTTGGCCTTGGAAATCTGTATCCTGACTGTTGAATTCCATTTTCTAGGTGGAGACAGATGTGTACAGCACCCTAATTGGCAGTGCCCAGGAATGTCCTAGGCTTTTTCAGGGTGGGGGCCTCAGTTTGCTGCTGTGCTGGGCCGGGCCTTCCCCAGCATGGTGTCTTGAGGGACGCTGGTACAGAAGGCCACTTTGCCTTTCGATGCCTGCCTTGGCTTCACAGCAGTCTCGGGGGCCCTGCAGACAAGCAGAGGGTGAGGTGAGTGTGGTGCCCCTTAGCCCCCCCACCCCCCACTGTTCCCATCAGCCTTTGCTGCCCAGCAGATGTCCAGACCCATTCAGGAGAAACCTCAGGAGGGGATATAAATGAGAAGAGAATTGTGGCACGAGAGCATAGAACATGAGATGTTTTATTCCCGTCTTTTATTTTTATTAATTTTTTTTTTCAGACAGAGTCTCACTCTGTCACCCAAGCTGGAGTGCAGTGGCCCAGTCTCAGCTCTCTGCAACCTCCACCACCTGGGTTCAAGTGATTCTCCTGCCTCAGCCTCCTGAGTAGCTGGGATTAGGCACATGCCACCATGCTCGGCTGATTTTTGTATTTTTAGTAGAGACGAGGTTTTGCTGTGTTGGCCAGTCTGATCTCAAACTCCTGGCCTCAAGTGATCCACCGCCTCAGCCTCCCAAAGTACTGTGATTACAGGCATGAGCCACGTCACCTGGGTACCCCCCCCCCCATCTTTTAAAATCCCCTGTGGCCATCCTCACTGAGCTGAGGCAATCAATGCTTAGCTGGCTTAGTGAGCAGGCCACGGATGAGAAGGATGGTCAGGGCTGGGTTGGAGGCCTCCCTGGCTCACCTTGTTTGCTCTCAAAGGGTATATTGCCCTGCTGGCCACATTCAGTCTCTGCTGCAGGCTGTGGCCCTGTTTCCTTGAGCACAGACTCGGGTAGCCCTAGGGATGCTCCCTGTGGACCAGGCTCTGTGAGGTGGGCCCTCCACAGCAGATTGCTGGGCCTCTGCTCAGGCTGAGAAAGGACATGGCGGGCAGCCTTCAAGGTCAAGTCAGTGAACTCTCCAGCTCCAGTCCTGACAGGCATCCAAGGGCAGAGGGAAGCTGGAAGCAGAGCTACAGGCGGCCACAGGAGTTCTGGGGCCCAACCCCTGCAGCGGGTGCCTTAGCCTGCAGGGGGCTGGTCTGCAGGAGGACAACATCCAGCAAATATTTCTGACTTAAAGGACAAATTCTTTCTAAATACCTGGGCAGAACCATAGAACCTTCTAGAAACAGCTTCCTCTTGAGATTCTGAATGGAAAGGGAATGAGATACTTAGAGGAAGTGTGAGGGAAGCCAACTCACGTGGACAGGATGCCCATGGCCTGCTGGGTGGCCAGAGTCCTTCTGTCCTGCGGTCCATATAAGAAAGTCTGGATCTGGAGACACTGTAGAACACCAAGCAACAATCATGAGGCTACAGAAATGTCGCTGACAGCAGGAAAATACAGTCTCCCTTGAATGAGAGAGAAAGATCACTTCATTCTTAGACCCTGCTCTGATGGAAATAGCATGTTCTCCTAGTGATGGTCTGACCTTTGATTTGGATGTCCTGAGTGTCCTAGGCAAAACCACACAGTTTTAGCACTATTTCATAAAACTCTGTGACCATCTGTATGCAAAAAATATATTTAAAAGTCATATTTTAAAAAATAAAGGCAAGAACCTTGGTACTGACCAGTGGATGGGCTCCAGTTTCTATTTCCAAATGGTCCTTGCTATAGCCTGGAAAAGATTTTTTAAAGATGCTTTTGTTTTTTGTAAACACATACTCTACTTTTATTAATATATGGGATTTCTATATTCTACTACACAGAAATGTCTTAGTTATTAGGAGTCAAATATTCAGCTTAAGGATTATCCAGGGCTGGCTTTGGCTTGATGTTTCCTTTCTGCTTACTTGAAGTCTTACCATTCGATTGCTTGTACTAGCCTAGGGCAAACTCAAGGAGAGGAGAAAGATTAAAAGTTGTGCCAAAAATAGCCAAAATAGTTTTGAGAAAGAATGAGGTAGAGGAACTTGCTTTACTGGATGCCAAGACCCTTTTTTAAAAAAACGAAAGTAATTAAGACCACACGTTTTTTTGCCCAGAGACCAGTGGAACACAGCAGACAGTCCAAGCCTTGACAGACGACAGAACTGGCCTTGCAGGATTGGTAAGGAAGAGGTGGGCAGGTCAATAAATTATACTGGGACTGCTGGTTTTCCAAATGGAAGAAAGTGAATTGCTACCCCAAACCAAACACAAAAATTAAACCCAGAAAGATTTAAAGGACTAAATGTGGAATAGAAAATTTGGAGCTTTTAGATGAAAATACTGGAACATTATCTTTTTTTTTTTTTTTTTTGAGACAGTCTCACTCTGTTGCCCAGGCTGGTGTGCAGTGGCATCATCTCGACTCACTGCAACCTCCGTCTCCTGGGTTCAAGAGATTTTCCTGCCTCAGCTTCCTGGGTAGCTGGGATTACAGGTGCCTGCCACCATGCTCAGCTAATTTTTGTATTTTTAGTAGAGATGAGGTTTCACCATGTTGGCCAGGCTGGTCTTGAACTCCTGACTACAGGTAGTCCACGTGCCTTGTCTTCCCAAAGTGCTGGGATTACAGGAATGAGCCACCATGCATGACTGGAGAATATCTTTATGATCCTGAGTATTCCTTAGACAAGATCTGGACAAAGCAAAAGTGAAAGACTGAGAAAATGTAACTATATGAAAACCTAGGCTGGATGTAGTGGCTCACACCTGTAATCCCAGCACTTTGGGAGGCCGAGGTAGGTGGATCATGAGGTTAGGAGATCGAGATCATCCTGGCTTAACACCGTGAAACCCTGTCTCTACTAAAAATACAAAAAAAAATAAAAAAATAAAAAAAAAATAAATGTCTGTGCACCAAAATTCACTGTAAGCAAAGGAGAAAGACAAACCATGCTGAGGAAATATACTTGCAATGCACAGAAATGAGAAAGGTTTAACATTCAGAATATATAAAGAATTCCTATAAGGTAATGAGAAATACCAAACCAAACCAAACCGCTTTATAGAATAATAGTCAAAAGATATAAACAGATTATTCAAAGAGTTGAAATATGATAAACATGCTTGATCTCATTAATAACCATAAATACAAACTAAAACTTCAATGAGGTAGGTACCACTTCACCCATCAGACTGCAACAACTACCAAGCTTTGTTAAAATGCAAATCCACAAGAATTCTTTTATGTACCAATAGTGGGTATTCACCACTTTGTGAAAAATTTAGTAATGAATATGTAAACTGTGATATATATATATCATATGTATATGATATATAAATGTTTGATATATGTATGTGTGTTTATAACCACATAGATGAATCTCATGATTACAAAGTCAAGGGGAAAAAGAAAACTGCAGATGAATGCATATAATATATATTATAATTTATATAAAGTTTTAAAACATGCAAAACAAAACCACAGTAAAATAAGAGCATGGGAATGATATCAAATTCAGAAAAGTAGCTATCTGGGGATTGGCAGGTATACAGGGACTTCAACTGGATGGGTCATGTTTTATTTCTTATATTGAATAGTGACTTCCAAGGTCTTTGTTATATTATCCATACTTTTCTGCATATCTGAAATATTTCATAATACATTTTTAAAAGATTGAATGAATTGTTCTACATGGTAATAGCTTGAGTTAAAAAAAAGTGTGAGGGTTTGGGCACTTACTACTGAAGGCTGTTTATTCATTCTGATCTGCCAACCATTTTTAGGTCTTCAGGAAAATTAAAATACAGGCAGCCAAATGCCTTTGTCTTTACAAGCTGTGGAAAATATAAAAACTGTCTGCATGTTTCAGGCCAAGGAATTCAGAATGTGATTTTCAAACAGAACGTGGTTGTCCTTTGAAAAAAGGAACTATCAAATGAGAATATGACGGGATTTTTAAAATAACAAAATATTCACTATTTCTTAGTCATTTGACTAAGAAATATACAGTATCAAGAAGTAGTAAACTCTATTCTTTTATTCAATGCATAATTCAAATTCTACAAAGGGAAGGATCTCTGTCTCTCTGTCAACAAGCCCTTGACTTTCTAAATCTGCATAGGGGCCTTAGCCTGGCCTAGGCAATGGGCTGAACTGCTCATTCTATGGGGTTGAGCCAGTGTTGCTTTAATGCTTTAGGTTGTTGTGACCCTAGAAACTTACGAACTTTGACAAAGCTCTGTTGCTTTGAGGGGAGGGGACAGGGACATGTTTTTGATACCCATGGTACCTGATGAAAACCCTTCCAGCACCCTGCTTGGGTTACAGCTATTGGAAGCCTGGGCACACTGGGCCTGGCAGAGGAGGAGGTTCTCAGAAAGGGCCAGAGAGCAAGAGAGGCAAGATGCTTCCCCCCACTGCCGCCCATCAGCGAGAGGCCCCTCTCTCCAGGGTTAACACTTCTTATCAGATTAGATTTCATCTTGCCCAGAAACAACTTCACTCGGTGTAAAAGATCAGGGCTAGTTTTAAAGCCACCCAGACTTCCCTGCGTTTATATATTTATGAGTGCCTCCAATGTAGCACATTTTGAGAGGTGATGTTGTCACTGCTTGCCATTAATTCATTCACTGTGGCATTAGAGTTTTACTGACACTCTAACAGTTAGTTGAGACTGTCTGAGGTCTCAGTTCACTTTGCCTTAACAGACTGCCTTCGAAATCTAATACTTGGGAGGAATTTCCATCCTACCCCTTTGGTGATTGAAGTTGCCTTTCCTTGGCCCTTCATTCTCTAGGGAAATAAATATCCCATTCACTGAATATTCTCGAATCCCCAGGGAGAATGAGAAGGCAATTGGCAGTGCTTATGCAAATTCTTGGTGGGTCCACTAACCACACCCACTTGTTAAAAACCAGTGTACTGATCATTTTCACTGGGAGCATTTTCACTACTATGTTAGCAGAGAGAGTGGAGTTAGGAGATCCTTTTCAGTAATCAAGCCCCAGAGAGGGGAGCCCCATCCCCACCCTACCCCTAGACCTTGGTCAAAACTCTTCTCTTCCTGGTATTAATAGATTTTTCCCCCTAAGGTTACTTATCCTTACTAAGAAGATTTGCCCAAAATTCCAGGTGAAGTGAAAAGAGATGCAAAGGGGTGTCAACTAGGAGCCAGAAACATCCTCAGCCCCTCACTAATCTCTTGTGTGATTACAGTGCAAGAGCAGGCACCAAGGCTGGAAAAAAGGGTCATCCATTTACTGAACTACTCTTCAAAAGACAGCTTTTTACAATAGCAAAATAATCCGTTACGGACTTCTACTAGAACACTTTTTATAAAGCTATATGTTTAAGAAACATAAATTGAAATTTTCAACGTTCTGCTGCTCTTATCTAAATTTACTGAAGCATTTCTGTGTGAAATAGGTGTGTTGATTCTTTTGTTAAAAACATGGGCATTGACAGAGAGGAAGTCAATAAATGCTAATTGAACCTACTGGAGCCAGGCATTGTAAACATCTAGCTGAGCTAAGTAAAGGAGTCGCCAAACCTTGACAGAAGAACATTCTCCACCATAAATAAAGGTATTCCGTGCTCCCATGCTCCCCAGATTCTTCTGAGAGGCAGATATGCTCCTCCTTGAAATCAGCCACTAAGGGGTGTTTCTCACTTTTCTTTAAAGTGAACAATAAACTGAACTCCTGAGTGTCCAGATGAACTTTAGGAGCCATTACATTGCTGTTATTCTCTTTGATTTTATCTGCAGGGTTGTGAGAAGTCACTTGTGTTTGTATTATTCCTTAAATATCAAACAGGGAGCTTTTCTTTCCCTTGCAGGAGAACAAAACAGAATGTCTGCCTTTATACCAGGCTGCAGGCTGTCCCCAGATGGGGCCATGTCTGTCTTGCACAGACCCTGCACACAAGCAGATGTAATAGCTGCTCAGTGAGTGAATGATGAACTAGGATAAACACGTAAGCTGGGAAATTCTTATATGGGGCCTTTAGACGACTGAAGACACAGTTGGACCCTAGGGCTCCAGTGACTCATCAGTTACTAAAACCTCTGCTAGGGAAGTTCCATTGTGGGAGTGGTGTTAAAAACTTGAAACTACAGTCCAGGCTTCAACAGGAGAAAGACTGCTGCTCACTATTTGCTGCTTTCTCCTAGGAATCATTTGGAAAGAGACAATCTTAAGCATTTGATGCAAACTTTAAGAATTATTTTTGACATGACTTTCAGATTTGAAAGCTCGGATTCTAAGGAGCCCGGGAGCCAAGAAAGCTGATAGGTGCCATCAGTTAGCCATCTTCCAGCTGTGGGCGCCTTTGAGCTAACACCCTTCCCACTGTGGACACAGGGGTGGCTCAGTGGCAGCGATGGCATTAGGGTTACATGACTCAGTATATT